CCCGCCCTTGCCCTTCCCTCACACTGTTACGGCATCAGTGTGTCCGCACCTCCCCGATCACAAACGGATGGATGACCGCCCGCCCTGCCGTCGGGGCCTCACCGGGGATATTACTTATTTGTGTGGACCTTGACCACTTTCACTCGTAGAGAAGCATCACGGGCAGCACTTAGGCCTCTGCTCCACCTGTGTGTGTGTGTGAGTGTGTGTGAGCGGAGGATGCATGGGTGCCAGTGCACTGCCCTCCCGTGTGCATGTCGCCCGGTACTCTCTCCACGATATGGAAGCAGGGCAAATATTTTACACGCTACCTGGATTTGCATATGTATTCTACGAACGAATGCAAGCTTTCAAATTTTAGGCGCAAACGTGAACAACTTTGCGTTTATTTGTTCGAAATGATGCATTTTTGCGCAGAATTTGCCCGAAACGAGCGTAGGTTTAGTATACCACGAAGTTCGCTCAAAAACAAACTAATGCATTTAGCGTGCACAATAAACAGCAATGTTCTGCCGCGCGTGTCGGCTAGAAAAAGAGGGAATAGGACCTAGAGAAAGAAACGGCGTGTATTTTTTTTCCCATTTCGCCTAACTGGGAGGACACACTTACTATCATCCGTCTTAATTTTCCGATTATCGTTATGGCTCTTTCTTTTTCTTTTTTTTTTTTTTGCGCACACAGGAAATGAAAGTGAGACCATTAACCCCTTTAGTATCGCCCTCTACCCCCAAATTAATAGCATCGCAGGCCCTCTATTGCTGATAATTTGACCGAGAGATGCTATCTGGTCACTCCGCATCCCGCCCTCTTGGCCCGCTGGTGGTGGTCCGCGTGGTCCATCCAGTGACTGGAGCCGAGCCGGACCGAGTCGAGCCGAGCCGGACCGAGTCGAGCCGAGCCGAGCGTTTTAAGTCGAGCCGGAACTGATTTTGGCGCGCGGAATATTTTTTTTTTTTCGTCTCGTCATGCGACCGTATAACGCTGAGCGTCGCGGAACCTGTCGCATTGCTAATTACAAGTCGTACATGCTCGTTCGATGATTTCTCCTTTCATCGGCTTGCCGCTGCCACCGCTGCTGCCGCAGCTGCTCGTGGAAATGGGTTTTATTTATTTTAAATGTGATTTCAATGCCGGTAGTATGATTTTACCCCTAAAAATATCATAGCACAAAGTGAGTATGCTGCACAATTTTTATTCCATGTCTGATGACGTGCACTTCCCCTGAAATTTTAAGATGGTCTCACTCAAACCGTGTTCCGTGTTCCATTATTGTGTATGTTAAGTTGGCCTTTTTCCCTCCGCTTGTAATTTTTTGTGTTCACCTTCGCCTAATTTTACTTACTTGTTTTGAATCTCTCTAACTTGTATCTGAATGTATATAAATGCTATCCTCTGATGACCTGCTGGATGCAGGAATATCGAGGAACATTATTACGTAAGGGCTTATCAAATTTACTGATTGATTCCAGCGCTTAATGCGTGCGAGAGAGCCGCCGATCGAACGCGAGTGTTAGAAAGTTTGGCGTGTGAGTGTGCAAATAGCGGCTATCTCTCGGTATGACTTTCATGTTTGGCGCGGCAGCTGCCTCGGCACGGGTCCTTTCAAAATGCATTATACCGAATTTGCTCCCCCCAATCCCCTCGACCCACTCCTCTTTCCACCTCGCCTCCGGTACGAATCAATAATACACCTCTTCGCATTCCCTTTCACTGCTGACAGGGAGGGAGGGCATTTGTTTTGCCATTCTGATAAGTACTGAATAATTATCAGAGAGGCAGTGTTTAGGTTTGGTATCGGTTTCCACGCTAAAAGAGTCTTTGCTTTAAAAATTAATCCTTGCTCTCTTAGCAAAATGTTTTGCCGCGTCTTCACTGGCAAAACAAGTGTGCACAATTTGCACACCAACGTGTGCAAGTTATGATTTTAAACACTACATGGTTTTTAACTCAAGTTACACACTTGCATGGTGTGCACATTTTAAACGTTTAAATTCTGCCCACTTAGACACACAATGTGTCGAGAAAATGCACACTTCAACTTAAACATCAGTTGACGTTCAATAATTAACACTTGTTTTACCAATGTTGACAATGACACCCGTCCCGAGCAGCATCAACAGAAACAGCTTTTCTTATGCTGTTCCAGCAAACGCTCTTTTTCGCCTGGCGTTGTTCCTCCAACCAGACTATCCATAGAGTGAATGAACTTGCTCCGGTTTCTGGCGCCGGACGTCGCGCCGTGCTCGTGTGGCGTGTGACGACGCTGCTGGCAGGAAAGTGAAATTGACACATTACGGTTGAACGCGCCGTCGTTACACACCTCGTCAGACTGGGGGGAATTCCTAGGAATGAAAAATAAAGAGAATGAGACAAGCCGAGCGTACGGCGACAAACTGGCGACAGTCGTTGCGCACTGTCGCGAAGCTGCAGAAAAAGACATCTAGCTTTTCAAAAACATTTGCTGTAATGTTCAATTTTTTTTTTGTTGATGGATTGTGAAATTACCTCTGTTTCAGGCGTTTTATTTGGAAATATCGATTTCATTCTAATTATCATGTTGTACTATTTGCCATTTCCCCTACTATTTCTAGCATTTTTTGGACGCGAAGAGTGTTTACCATAGGCTAAGGATCGTGCGCTTCGACGCCCTGTTCGTCAAGTTAGTTAATTGAAAGCACACTTTTAGGAATGGTGGCCATTTTATTATTATTCGAGCTCTGGAAATTCTGGCTTGATAACAATGGTATGCGGAGGATATAGTGGGAAGAGGGGGAGGGGTGAAATAACTGCAGCGCTCATGACATAGGCCGATGCACACCACTAGCCTGCGTCCGGCGATGCACCGGGCCGGGCGGGCTGCATATAGGAAACGCTCGATTGACGGTATCCTGCGGACGGATGGGTGAACCAATGGATGGGTACGTAATTGTGTCGTGCTAGGAGGGAATATGTTGACAAACGAAAAATAGAGGAAGGAAAGTTAGTTACAAATGTAACTGTCCTCTAAAACGTACGTTTTGTTTTGTCACTACCGTGGCAAGAGCACTTACCACTATAGTATACATTTTCTTTACCCAATACACAGCAAGTACTCACTAAAATGTATTTCATATCAACCAAAGTCAGAGAAACTGCACTACTTCTCTTTCGCAATCTGCAAGAACCATTTCTTTTTACGGGTGCTGTTTCCCGCGCCGGCTTCTTTTCCGTACATGTTCGCCGCCAC